AAAAAACCAACCAAGCTTACTTGGCTTTCTACGCCATCGTAAAGGAAAAGTTGATATTTTTGATAAAGACCACGAAGTTTCTCGATATATAGAAGACATAAAGTGTATCAAAACACATTACAATTACAATAGCAAACATATTTATGATATAATCCAAAACGCTGAAAATAATATAAAGGTATGTGCCAAAACTTATAAGGATTGGTGAGAGTACATTGACTACTGTGCAATTCTACGTGCAAGCGTATGTGCACAGAAAAGGCTACGCTGACTAGTGCAATTCTACGTGTAAGCGTATGTGTACAGAAAAGGCTACGCTGACTAGTGCAATTCTACGTGTAAGCGTATGTGCACAGAAAAGGCTACGCTGACTAGTACAATTCTACGTGTAAGCGTATGTGCACAGAGAAGGCTACGCTGACTAGTGCAATTCTACGTGTAAGCGTATGTGCGCAGAAAAGGCTACGCTGACTAGTGCAATTCTACGTGTAAGCGTATGTGTACAGAAAAGGCTACGCCGATTAGTGCAATGAGTTTTTTGACATTTGAGGTCTATCTATTCTGGAGGAGGAATAGATTATGAACCTTCCTCAAAAAAGTCAAAAAAACTGATCTAGCATCGAATCAAACAACTTTTTTTTTTTGGCCATACTGTACTCACTAACTTTTTTTAGGATGAAGAAACATCACCTGAGGTAATGGAATTTTTGCTCCCTCAAGGTTCTTCCAATTCAAATGAAAATGAAGGTGAAGGTAGCGACTGCAACAATGGTTCTTCCAATTCAAATGAAAATGAAGAGGAAGGTAGCGACTGCAACAATGGCTCTCACAATTCAAGTGAAAATGAAGGGGAAGGTAGCAAGGTTTGTAACACATCATTAATAATGATTAAGGAAATATTGATTCATTTGTGTTCTTTATAGGCACTTGTATATGATATTCTTAAGGATATTATTTCAGCATCTCAAGCTGAAAAGAATGTTTTAGACATATACTCTTCGAAATTCAGCCATTCCTCAATTATGGATCTTCGTTTAGATCAGAGTTCTCAATTTCATTAGACCAGAATTTGCAGGATCGAGTTCTACATGAAGTCTTTGACGAGATAGACGATTATATTACGGATGAAATTCATAATTATCTTACGGACTTCTTTAATACTGACCGTGGGCATCAAGGATGGTGTGAAGTGGCTCGAAGTATAACAATTTGTGAAGAAGATTCCGAACAGTTAAAAGATACGAAGGGACTATTAAAGGATACATTTGGGCGATTGTAAGTTGGAAACTATAGTCTGTAAAATTTAGTATCAAATTAGCTAATACCTACTATACCTATTGCATATAGTATAAAGGCTTTCTCTTTAGGTCCACTAAACCCGTTGAGAAATATTTCAACCTTAGAGAGACCACATTTAAACCAATTTGTTCACCCACTAATTGATAGCTCATTGTGGATTTTTGCAGGGATAAATTATATATCGTGAGCTGAAGTTTTCCTTCCTCTTTCCATAAAATTAATTGCATTATTCATGGCATGCTTGAATTTTACTAGTGGCGAAATTCCTCTGAAGGGAAAAATAAAAAGCAACGCGGACGGTATTGGATTTCTCAATGATGTTTCGGATTATCAAATTGCTTGCATGGAGGGGGCAAAGCCTGGAGCGAGAAAAAAAAAGATTATTGACGATGACACAAAGAATATAAGAAATATGACGCAATTATTCAATAATATAATTGTATCGGAGGCAACTGAACGACGACAGATTTATACAGATCTCCGAACATATGGAGCCACAGCGTATAAAACTGAGATATCTCTCACGATGATGGATTTTCGTGGTATGTATATGTAAATCTTCATGGCGATGTATATATGTATCTAGAATTTGACCAGATAATGATTCTCTGTGATTATTAGGCATGTATCGTTTATTCGAGGTAGATCGATTTAGTCTCCCGAAGGATTGGGTGGATATTCCTAATTTCGTTTTTGTGTACGAAGCTTTGATCAAATGGGCAGTAAGTTATATAAAGTACAACAAACTTTATTGCAGGTGTTACAATTATGTTTGTGTTAATAATAATAAGGTAATCATCTTGTAGGTGTGTGCTCATCATACAAGAGAAGGGCTGATTGCACAACGAAAGAAAAGGAGAATAGGAAGATATTCCGAATCAAGAATCGTTAAAAAACTCAATTGTTTAAAGTGGTAATGAAGTGCATGGATACTAGTAGTCGCAAGACTTTAAAGATTTAATA